ATTAAATTGAGCTTTTCCATTGTTTCTTTCCACAGATGTAGTTAGTTTGATTCCTGTGTATTCTTTCAAGTGAGGTCCATGTGTATAGTTGCCATTTACATAGTTAAAAAAATGTATTTGCAATGAAGAAGTCATTGGTTTTGCAAAATTCTCTCAAGCGATCTCCAGAGTCATTTCTATCACCAAGGCCGTATTTGACAGCTAGCTATCCTTCTTTTTTGTTTCCAGCTTTGGCATTCCAATCACTAGTAATTATCAATGCATCTTGTTTGCATCTTTGATCAATTTCAGACTGTAGAAGTTGGTAAAAAAATCTTCAATATTTCCATCTTTGTCCTTAGTGGTTTCTGTGTAAATTTGGATAATAGTCATATTATTATTCGTCTTTCTTGTAGGCATATAGATATTATCTTATCACTGACAGCATTGTACTTCAGGATAGATCTTGAAATGTTCTTTTTGAGGTTGAACTTGATGTCATTCCTCTTCAATGTGTCACTACTGACGTGGAAGACCATATGACTGTCTGATTCAAAATGGCCAATACCAGTCCATTTTAGCTTACTAATGTCTAGGATATCAATGTTGATGTGCCCCATTTCATTTTGGATGACTTTCAATTTTCCTAGATTCATACTTCATGCATTTCATGTTCTGATCATTAATGGATGTTTGCAGCTGTTTCTTCCCATTTTGAGACATGCCACATAAGTAGAAGAAGATCCCAAAAGGTCAACTCTATCCATGTCATGAAGGTCGACTCTACTTTGAGAAGGCAGCTCTTCTCCAGTTGTATTTTGAGTGCCTTCCAACCTGAGGGGCTCATCTTCCAGCACTATATCAGATAATGTTCCACTGCTATTTATAAAGTTTTCACTGGCCAATTTTTTCAGAAGCAGACAGCCAGATCCTTTTTCCTAGTCTGTCTTAGTATGGAAGCTTCACTGAAACATGTCCACCAAGGGTGACCCTGTTGGTATTCGAAATACCAGTGGCAAAGTTTTCAGTATCAAAGCAATGTGCAAACCACCACAGTACTAAATCCTGACAGACACATGGTGGACTAACAGACATGTAGTGAATTAACACATTAAGTTAGTGGGCTAAAATTATAAATACATTTAAATTTGAATAGGAGAAGATATCTCACTTATTATTTACTCAACAATCATTTATTGAGCTCCTGTGACAGGCTGTTCTAGACGTTAGTGATACATCAGTGAACCACATGGAAAAAAATTCCCTGCTTCATAGTTTACTCTATGACAGGAGGCAAAAAAAAACACAATAAGTGAATAAACTGTATAGTAGGTCAGCATGTGATAAGTGCTGTGGAAAAATGAAGAGCAGGTAGGAGAGGTGATGAAATCCAGGCTGGGGATTTCTATTTGTAAATACATAGGCAGAGTTCACATGTGTCTGATTTGAATGATCTCTTTATTAACCTATGCTCAAATAGAGTTATTTTCACTTGGGTAGACAAAATCAACAACATGTAAATCATCAAGTAAATTGAATGTAATTCTCTTTTGAAATCTACATTTTACTCTCAGATACCTCTGGCTTCTATTCACCCTTTATTCAGCTCACAATACTTGCAACTTTGGTATTGGTTTTGCTAGGAAAGTGATCTCTCAAGAGCTCCCTTTGATTGAACTCAAATAGACATATTCATCAATGATTCCCTTATGAAATCTACCTCCCTTCCTCTCACACAGATGATTGGTGTAGGGTAGTCAACTGACCCAAAAAGAAACCATCCATAGGCAGGTATGGCCAGTCAGGTTTTCTCTCTCAGACATTCACCAAGGGATTCAGATTTGTTGCAGATAATAATGGGTCCATGTTAAATGGTGAAGTCATGTGTTCCAGGAATACCTACAGTTGAGTTTCTGAAAACTCCCTGGTCTCTGCCCTTCCAGAGTCCTGATTGTTTGTTTTTCCATGACATTTACTGGGATTACCTCCCATTGCCCTTCGGCTGATTCCAAATCATAGAGAACCTATAGGACAGCATAGAACTGTACCATAGGATTTCGAAGGCTGTAATCTTTATGGAAACTGACTGCTACATTTTTCTACCACACAGCAGCTGGTGGTTTCCACCTGCTGCCTTTTCAGTTAGCAGCGGATTGCTTAACTACTGTACCACCAGGGCTCCTTATCTGGTATCAGTGTCCTAAAAATAAACTATTTCAGTTGAAATAGTTTATGGAAGTTCCTATTCCTCATCTCTAAGATATTTTTTATCTTCCTTCTTTGACTGTTTTTCAAAGCATGTTGTGAATGGGAAGCAGTTTAACAGATAATCTCATTCCCCTCTTTCAGTGATTTCTGTCGATTATTATATTCTAAGTAAGCATAAAATTCAACTCTCTTTAGTTTACGTATAAGGAGACTGAGCTGCCAACTTCCAAATAATGAGTGATCTGGGGGTGGAATAGCATTTCCTGACCTCCAAGTTAGTGTTTTCTGTTGCATTACATTACCTTCTGTCTTCCAAGGTCTATCCTCTATAAATTTCATGGCTAAGTCCATTTTGATCTCTGTTGTCTTGAAGTTTTATTTTTTTAAGTTTAATGTTTTATCTTCATAAGAAAGCACCACCAATCTGTTCCACAACATCCTTTTTTCTGGAAAAGAGTTCCCGAGAGAGGTAATAGTCTACGTATATACAGACCCTATGGCAAGAGCATATCTTGTCAGTTAGAGGAGCAGAAAGGGGCCACATGGACTGGAGGAGTCAGTGAGGGGTCATCTATGAGAGAAGAGACCAGAGAGGTGGGAGGGTAGCAAGGTTACTGCTGCCTGATCTTTAGCAATTGTAAAGTTTTAGCTTTTACCCTGAGTAACAAGGAGGGCCATTGCAGCAGAATGGAGTCATGATATGATCTGACTTATGACTTTAAAGGATAAATCTACCTGCCATCCTGAGGATAGACTCTTGGGGAATGAGAAGAAATGGTAAAAGTAGGCAGACTAGGTAAGAGGCAATTGCAATAATCCAATGAAAAATGATAGTGGATAGGAATTAAGTGACAACTTTAAAAATGATATGAAGCTCTTCAATTTGTCATTATGTTAGAGTTAAAGCCAACAGGATTTCCTGATAGAGTGGATATGGGTGATGAGAAAAACAGAATAAATATGCCATCAGTTGAGTTGGAAGATGATGTGAGTGGAGTCAATTTGGGGATGGGAGAACAACCAGGAATACAGCATCACATTTGTTCAGTTTAAGAAATCTATTTGTCTTTTAGATGACAATACCATGGAAGCATTTGGGTTTCCAGGTCTCAACCTCCAGGAAGAAGTCTGGCCAGAGATATTAATTTGGGAATTTTTGTCATGTAAAGAGAGTATGTGAAGGAAGAGGGATAGATTAATTGGGTTAAATGTTGGTAATGGATTTAATAAGACAAGAAGTTAAGAATTGCTGATAGATTTAATGATGCAGAGGTCCATGGTGACCTTGAGAAGATGATTTGCAGAAAGCATTACTTATTGATGTGTGACTGATAGGGGTTTAAAGAGAATGGAAGGAGAGAAATGGGAAACAAGCATTATAGTGGTCTCCTAAGTTTTGCTGCAAAAGAGGGAGAAAGCAATCGGGTATTAGATGAGAACGGAAGTGGAGTAAAGGAAATTTTTTTTTTTTTTTTTTTAGATGGGAAAGGTAATGGATTGCTTATTTGCTGATGTAACTGATCCAGTAGAGAGGGAAACATAGATGAAATAAGAGACAGAAGAGATTCTTAGAGCAGTGTCCTTGTGTAAGCAGTGAAGACATGAGGTCCCATGCAAAAGTAAAGAGAGTTTGGTTGCCTTGGTAAAGGTCATAGATACTTCATTTATAGTAGCAAGTAAGAGGCAGCATATAAGTGAATGGATGCCAGCAGACTGATAGATATAGTTGTGGGAGTCTGGAAGTTGTCTTTTGTTGGCTTAAATTATCTCAGTGATATAGAAAGCAAGTTCATCTAATGTTTCCTATTAAGTTTGATATTTGTGGTAGTTTTTTAGGGAGATACCTTTCTTCAAATTAAATTAGTCTTCTATTCTTACTTTGCTAAATCTTTGTATCATGCATAATAGTGAATTTTTCAAATTCTAATATAGAGGTAACCATATAATTTACAAACTAGTATTGGTAACAAGTCATTAGTAACAGCAATTCCCCATAACAACATTAAGACCAAAATTTCTTTCAGAAGTCCTGTTGTCAAAAAAAAAGTCCAGGCATCGAGCTGTTAAATAATGTTTAATGGGTAAAAGTTATTTAATGTAAGTTAATTTGGGGGTCCCATAGAACAGGTAAGAAATCTGTGAGATCTAATTGACAGATAATATTACAGCATAAATGGTCAGAACTGCTCATATATGTAATGGAAGATGTAGATTCTGAGCCTACTTTTTTTTTCTTGTATAAAGGAAGCTGGAGACAAATAGTATGGGGCTGGTATGACATGCATAACATCAGGGTTATAAGCCCCTTCAGTCTCGCATTTTCAGTAACCTTAACACACATCCTCATGGTCCAACATGGCTGCTTGAATTCCAGCCACAATTCAACAGTCACAGAATTACCATTTACATTACCACTTTCATTTACATTTTATTGGCCAGAACATAGTCACCTGGTCACACCAAGCTACATGGGATGCTGGGAAATGCAGTCTTTTAGCTAGGCAGTAATGTGTCTTAAAAAAAAAAAAAAAAAATTGCTTTGCGGTCAATTTTGACTCATAGCGACCCTATAGGAGAGTGTGGTGGGTAAAAATCACTGCCCTTTTGCTTAGCAGCCAAACTCTTAAACACTTCCCAGGGCACCTTAACTGGGATCAGTGCCCCAAAACTAAAGTTTTTTAAGTTGAAAGAGTTTCAGGAAGCTCCTGTTCCTAATCTCTGAGATATTTTTTGTCTTCCATCCATGAAGCTTTTTCAAAGCATGGTGTGAATGGCAAGAACTTAAGTAGATGATCTGATTGCTCTTTTTCCTGATTTCCTTTATTATTATATTCTAAATAAGCATAAAATTAAACTCTCTTAAGTTCTTGTATAAGGATGTTGAACTGCCAACATCAAGTTGAGGAGTGATCTGAGGGCAGAAGAAGCATTTCCTGACCTCCTCTTGAGCGTTCTTCTGTTGCATTACATTACCTTCTGTTTTACAAGGTCCATTCTCTACAAAGTTCTTGACTAACCACGTTCTGATTTTTTTTAATCTTGAAGTTATACATTTTTTTTAGATTAATGTTTTATTTGTCATCAGAAACCACCAGCAATCTGCTACACAACTTCCTCATGGCATTTTGCACTTCCTTATTCCTGAAAGTGTAAATCAAAGGATTGAGCAGGGGAGTTAGGATGGTGTAAAATATAGTCACCATCTTGTCGAAGGAGAAAGCAGATGGAGGTCGTGCATACTCAAATATGCAAGGGACAAAGAACAAAACCACAACAGCAATGTGAGATCCACAGGTGGACAGAGCTTTCCGCCGACCTTCAGAGCTATGAGTTCTCAGTGAGAACAAGATGACACAATAGGAGATAAGCAACAAGGAGAAGTTTATGATGCAGATTAACCCACTACTGGCCACAACCAAAAAGCCAAGGATGTGAGTGTCAGTGCAGGCAAGTTTCAATAATGGGTACAAATCACATATGAAGTGATCAATGACATTAGGGCCACAGAAGGGCAGCTGGAAAGTAAAGAGGATTTGTACTACAGAATGCAAGAAGCCCCCTGTCCAGGCTACCCCCATCAGAATACCACAGAGCCTCCAGTTCATGATGGAGAGGTAGTGCAAAGGCTTGCAAATGGCCACATAGCGGTCATAGGCCATGATGGTGAGAACAATCATCTCCACTCCAGCAAAGAAGTGTTCAGCAAAGAGCTGGGTCATGCAGCCCTTGAAGGAGATGGTTTTCCTCACACTGAGGGAGTCCACAATCATCTTTGGGGCCATGACGGAGGAGAAGCACGTATCCAGGAAGGACAGGAAAGCCAGAAACAAGTACATGGGGGAGCCCAGAAGTGCTGGGCTGCTGCTGATGGCCACCACAATTAGCAAATTGCCCCCAATGGTTGCAATGTAGCCAAACAAAAATATCACAAATATTATTTTTTGAACATTTGGATTCTGTGAAAGCCCCAAGAGGATAAACTCAGTTACAAAGCTTTGATTTTGCATGATTTCAGAGGAAAAGGTGAAAGCTACCACAGCGACTATGTAGAATCTGAAATTAGGAGAAAGAGATATTTGCCTCAGACTGGTATGGTATTAGCATAGTCTTCAACAGGCTGGTACATCTATAAGCAAAGTTATTTTAAGTGCTTCTGTTGTTGTTAAGAATACAAAATTAGAAATTTGTTGAAGGTGGTAGTGAGACATCAGGCAGAATTGAGGTTAAATACTGTAAAATAGAGTTTCAATATGGGGGAAGGGAAACATATGTAGCTGGGATGACAAAAATTACTTATCTTAGGTGCCAACTCTGATTGGTTAGTAGTGGCTACCTAGAGTGAATTGTTGAGTATTCTGAAGCACATCCAAGCTCTGAGGAAAGGAGGACTGTAATGTATTAGTTATGCCTGTCATTGACATGGCATGGGAATCAGGATGACTTACATGGGAAATGCATCTCTCATCAGGAGACTGCCTTAGCTACAAATAGAAAAAGAGATAATATGCTATTTAAGAGGCACTTAGAAATCATGCCTACTCCCTCAAATATTTCTTTAAAAGTCTGAGCCTAACTGGGCCTTTAAGATGAATTAATTCAGTCCTTATAAAAAATGAAAACAGAAGTTTATCAAAATAATAATACTTACTTCAAAGTGTTGTGCTGATGACTAAGTGAAATAACGCAAGGAAAGCAATTACCCAGGGCCTGGTATATAGGATACAGTCCATGTTTGGTTTTATTATCTCTCTCTGTTAATGGTAACAAACTCATGCTTTGAGAAGTTAAGTTCAAAAAATTAACAAAAGGTGGATCTGGGATTTTCTGGCTCCAAAGCCCAAGTCCATTCCAGTGGATTAATAAGGAAAGGGATGATAATACTTCTTTTCTAAGGAGAACTTCAGAGCAAGATGGTCTTTCTACAGTATCCACCCATCTCTCAAGGTTAAAACCTTCTGATTCCTTTGTTCATGCATAGATGAGACACCTCAGGGAAAGAAACTGCAAATGATTTATTATCAGAAGGTAAATTCCCACCATATACATCACATCATACACATATACAAATGACAGCAAACTTGTAGGTAAGAAATAGAAACAACATATTTAATATAAACCAGTTAAGGCTGTAGTAATTACTAACCAATTATTTACACAATGTAGCACAATATGTACAAGTACAACTCATCAAGGTATATCTGTTTCAAAATTGTATAACTTTACTGTAAAATAGTTCGTCTATAACTTATCTGATCATCTCACAGGATTATGATGAGGGCCAATTTTCAAAATGTGAAAATGTTGCTTATGATAAATAACTGTTGCAAATTGTGGTTATTATCATCCCACTTAATAAGCCAGCTGCTTTATAGAAAGCATTTCCGTGAGTTAACCAGAAAACTACTTCAAATTTTGACTTCATTTTCCATAGGTAAACACAGCTTTGAAGGATAAGTGTGTCCTCACCTGTACATATAGCAGAAATTTATCACTTGAATAGTTGACATAATTATATGTTTGCTAAAGAGATAAATAAAAGAATAGCGTGGCTTATTGTGAGAACTATCAATAAACTGACTTTGTTGAATGCCACTTAGAATTAACAAATAAAACTAACAAATATACAATTGTGTACGTTAATGTCTTCTGCTCACTTGCTTTAAAACAACGATTTACTTATATTCCCAGAGTCTAAGCAAACCTAAATTGTGCCAGCACTGTTAACTCCATATCCAGCTACAAGCTGTCACCCTGGAAACAAGACTATAAAATAAACCCAATAAGGTCATTGGGTCTGTCAACAACCATTTATGTAAAAGTAAATAATATTGATATATGATCCAAGAGTGGTTAGTTTAGCGTAGGACCAAAGCAAGAGAGACAATGAAGTGAAATGAATAAGAACATCAACTCCAGACTCATACAGACCTGGGTTCAAATACAGGCTCTTCTATTTAGTTATGTGTCATGGAACAAGTTACTTAAAATCCTTGGTTCTCACTTCTGAAAGATGAGTATAATAACAATGCCAATTTATAGAATCAGAAAACACAATACCCATAAAAACATTCAATAGGAGATCAAGCACCCAGACCACTGACACAGAGAAGAATTGTCAATGTTTTCACTTACACTTAATTCCCACTTTACCATGAACAACACTCATAAATGCTTTTACTGATAAGCTCTTTGACTCATCATTTTTACATCTAAAAATGTAAATTATTTTATTTGGTCACGGTGTAGATGTGCTAATTTTTTAAATGTATAGCACTTTTATTTAAATGACCTTTGTAACCCTGTAGTAGCTCTCAAACCCACATGAGTCCACTTCTATTTCAAGTAGCTTCTTTTTACAAAGAAAATTAAATTGGCTCTATACTAATCTATATTAATATTTAAATAATACTTAAACTTTCTGTTTCCCCTGTAAGGTAGTCCTAAGAGTAATACAATTTTAGAACCAAAATTTTCAGTAGATATGAACAAATCAGTCCTGTCTTATTTCAGACAAAAAAGAATTTCCAAAATTAGAATTAAAATGTTGACGAAAGAGAATACAATGTCTTCATGGTTTATGATCACAAAGTTTAGGAATTTAAGTCATTTGAAAGTTAATTGTACTGAATTGGGTCCTCGAACAGAAAAAGGAACGTAGTGGAAGAACTAGTGAATTATGAATAAATTCTGGAGTTTAAACAATAGCCCTATCCCAATGTTTGTTTCATAGATTTTACAAACGCACTCAGGGTTACATAAGACCGTTAACATTGGGGGAGCTAGGTGAGGAGTATACAAGAGCTCCCTATACGATCTATGCAACTTCTCTGTGAATCTAGAATTACTCATAACTAAAACTTCACTTAAAAAAGAAAGCAATTGTTCTGGTTCTGCTATCAAAAAGGTAGCCATCTCAGCTTCATCACGGAATAGCCGCGTGCCCTTGAGCAAACCACCCAGACTCTGTGTTCTGTCCTATAAAGTAGGGACAGTAACACCTGTTCAAGCTGCGTCACTTACAAGAGTCCAATAAAACAGTTATTATGAAAGTGATCTGACAAAGTACAAAGTTTTAAAAATGTAAAATAGTGATGTCCTATTATTTTCAAGCAGTGACTTCACACACACGTGAGCTAGAAAATTGAATCAACCTTAATAAGCTGTGTGTTTTTAAAATGTAGTTATTTTTTTAAATTAAACCCATTGCTAAAATTGCAATAAAACTGTTTCTATTCATGTGATCCTTTAGGAAAACCCTTTAGTAAATATTTCAAGACTCATAAATTTGTTTGTATCATTTAGTCACCCAAACTCTAAAAAATTCTTCAATAACAGTAAGATGTTCATGTAATTAAGACCACTTCAAATTAATAGGGCGTGATGCTGTGAATAAGATGCTAATTAATAAGAGAAAGACATAGAAAGTGAAGTATTTTTACAATATGTTAAATGAGAAAAACAGAAGAAAAATTGTAAAACTCCTGCCCATTTGTATAGATATTTTAATATAATTTTAAAATCTAGAAGGGGTCATATGCAAATTGTAGAGTTTTTTTTTTTTTCAATATGTGTCTTTATATAATCATATGAATATTTAAAATTCTTATTTTTTAATTAAGGCTGGATGGCACATGACTGGGCGGTGTTTCGTTCTGTTGTACACAGGGAGGCTGTGAGTCAGAACTGACTCCCCAATGGCACCTAACAAAAACAGCAAAAACACCCACACCACCATATTTTCCATCAACTAAACATTTCATAAAAAGGATGTGGGATTTGTGAATAATTTTATTATTTATCCAATATAGTTTGTTTACATAAGTAGAATTATCATGCTAATACAACATGGGTTAGTCTATTACATTAAAAGCTTAAAATTATTGTAAACATTCCATAAGTAGCCATGCCATGAGGTCCAGCCTTGCCCAGCCACTATACTCACTCTGATAACAATTTTAAATTCATGTCTCCATCTTAGGAAGCAGCTTATTCTGTCCGTATTTCTCCTAGATGATTCCCTGGTCTTTTTTTCTTGACAGCCCCAGGCTGTACCCGAGATTGCTTAGGCCAGCTGTGAACCGTGGACCCTGGGGCATCTCCTTGGTCTGTGACCTTGCGAGTTTGCCGCCCCATCCCCCACTGCCCTCATTGCCCAGTATTTCCTTCCTATTGGTTTTAATAGGAAACAGTAAAATTAATTCTAATGTATATCTTTCTGAAAACAACAGAAGTTTCTGTTTCAACCTTGAGGTATGTATGACATTCAAAAATACATGCAGATTTAATGCTAAGGTTGTCATCATAAAATAAGAAGTGTTTTTGTAATTGTCTTTCAAGCAATATGGATATTAATGTGTATTTTAGAATCATTAACATGTACACAAATATACATATCAGTCATGTCTGCATATGAATATTTCTAAATAAATATGGTTATTACAAATTAAAAGAATAAATTAAAATCCATTCATAATTACCCTCCTTGTTAAGCTCTGTGGTCCACTGTGTTTTTGATCTAGGATTATTATTATTATTTATTTCAGCAATATTTATATCTTGTCTGTCTACCTGAGCATATTCCCTTCCATGACAACCTGGGAAATCTCTTCACACTGCAGATGATTTTCTCTCCCCCAATGTTGCTCTGCTGATTCCTCTAAACATCTCCTCTTACACTCTTACTATTTCAGGAATTAAATAATAATAACAACCTCTCTCTGTTTCCACCCGTGTCCTTCCTGTTGGATGCCTGAGGCTTCTATGTTCTCTCTTAACAGTTTAGCTTATTTTAGGAGAGAGACACAGGGCACCCCAACTAGCACTATAGCAGTTCAGAGCTTCAGTCATTGAAACATTCTTGAAAAATTCTGAGACAGAAACCTAACACTACCTATGACATCAAACGCACTTTGTGAAAACTTCAAGTCAGAAGACTCTGCTCTGTGAATCTGCATAAATCATTCTTTCTTACTCTTAATGCCCTGCCCTGTGATATTTGTGGAAATATTAAAGGATATATCATATATAGGAAATCCGTAAATGTTAAAGCAGCATTGGAAGCACCATGCTCCTTCA